TTTTTTTTTTTTTTAAATTCTGTTCATCAAACACTGGGGAAAAAAGTCATCAGACTCTGCTTTAGAGAAAACCACAATGCTGAACAATGGAAACGCTGCAGGTGTTCATAAATTACTAAAGTACCCTTACAATGAAGTCCAGAGCTTTGAGTTTTAAGTGACACATTTCAGCTCTATATGTAGAGCATATGTAACTTTTTTTTTTTTAATCTGCCTACATGGTGAGATTATTACTGTACTCTAAGAAGTCCCACTGTGTAAAGTCTGTAAAACCCAATAGTCAAAAGGAGAGAAAACAAGCAGTAACAGCCTCATTTTGCTCTACACTTGTCATTTCTATTCTCTCCCTCCCATTTAAAAAATATTGCTTGCTGGGATAACTTCAAGGAATATGCAGCTCCTGTCCTCTCCTGTTTTGCAGTCTTAAGGTATCCTCTTGTTACCACACAAACAACATGTTTTTATTTTGAAGGGAATTGGGCAGAGTCAGCACTGAAGTAGTCATAATATCCATGCATTGCACTTCAGGCTCCCAACATCAAAAAGTTGCCTGCTGCTGTTCTAGGGCACTGAGGAGTCATGGGCATCAGAGCCAAGCCGGCTGCAGACTGGTGCAGGCCGGGGTTCAGACCTAGCCACTGCCACAGCAGCTTTTCCCTGATGCCACTTCTCCCCACCCCTAGCATGGGCAAAAGCTTCACCCTGCCCCGCAAGCTCTCAGTTTCCACAGCCAACATGTTGCTCAGCCCTACCTTAGAACTAACCTGTACAATCCTAGATGTCCCCAGCACACTCCAGACATTCCTAGCAGTTGGGCAGATTGACTAAGCTTTGTCAGAGTCAGCAGCAGGGAAAGCTGAAGTTTAAGGTTGCGTGCAAAGTATTTGCAAATATAAAAACCGATGCATATATCAATGTACTTACCATTTCCGAGCAAGGAATTTGGCTGTATTGGCATTCTGTTTTTGTCTAGAATACTTACGAGCTAGTCAAATCATTTATGGAATGAAAAAAAAAATCTATTTCAGTACTAGATGTAAAGTACTGCAGTTCAGTCATGAAAATCACCTGTATCAGGTTAAAGAAAACTATGGATCTGAGCTACCAGCCAAGGAACATATTCTTGTGGAGCAAAGTTTAAAGAGAGTCCCAATGCTATTCACAGGCTGAATCCTGCAAGGCCTAATGGGGTCTCAGTCAAGTCTGTTTAGGTGCAGGGTCTGTCCATAAACTAGACTCAACAGAGACACTGCTGGGTATGCCAAGTGATGTTACATGACCATTTGGATAAACAAGACAACACAAAAGACCACTTACTCCTCTCAAAGCAAGGTGCACTATACATTACATTATCACTGGTAAAATATATTACCATGGTAAATTATATAAAATTGATTCCCCATTTCTATTAGTAATGAATAATCCAATTGTATCCACTAAACCATTGTGTGAAGCAGCATCTCTTACATAAAGACTCTGCAACATTTAACTTAATTGTGTGGGTGGCCTGAGTGCTATTTGTAGGCATCTGCACAATAAGGAATGTAATAAAAGAGCTTCTCCTATAAAAAGAAAAACTCCAGTATTTTGATTAGTCATCCTTCTCAGGCAGTGGCAATATAATAAACTTGCTTCCCTATATTAAATGTCCAAAAGAAACTCAAGCTTTTTCTTTTATTAGGTTTTATATAACACCCCCCCCAGCCAAAAGCCCTCTAAAACTAAACCCTTGTTTTTCCTGCGATGACAAATTTTACTTCTCTGTACAAAAACAACAACAAAGAAACAGAGTTGTCAGGGGACTGGTGGCGAACTTCAATGTTTGCCAGCTGGAAAAGGAAGGAAAAGTTCCCTAGTCCTATTTTCAAAGGCAGATATACGTTAAGAAAATGGCACCTTAGTTGCCAGTGTCCCCTTAGTAACATTATTAGAGCCTTATTAGTGCCCTTGAAACCTGTTTTCATTCAGGGAGTTTTACTGTAGAGAAGCTGCAAATAGTACCCTATGTATTGAGGGAGGGAGAAAGTGCAGTCAGCTATAGAGAGCATCAAACTGGGCCTCATTCATTCCTATGGGGAGTTTCAGACACCAGGTCTATCCTGTTCATTCCTTGGGGACTTGTCAGAAAACAAATCTACCCCACTCACTGCTGTGGGGACTTTCAGGCACCAGGTCTACTGCATTGTGCCCTGGACATACTACAGATCCTTCATCAGCAAGTCACATCCTCTCTCTGCTTTGTTTCAACAGAAACACAGGAAATGACCTACTGCTCAGCCTTAATATCTATCTGACCTTGTATCTTTTCTTCAACAGTGACCTCTGCCAGAGCCACCAGAAGTTTAAGAATTGCAAAGGCAGATACAGGAAAACCACCACACACTGCCCATGACATTCTCATCCTGCTCCTTTACAGTTCAAAATATTCTGAAATTCTGCACTGCTGCAAAATTTGTTAGCATTAACTCTGAACATTCTTGATATGCACATACATTTTTGCTCCCTCTTCCAAATCTTGCTAATTCTTGGCCTCAACATCCTTTGGCAATGGGTTTCACAGTTTAATTATGCATGATATGAAAAAAGGAATTTCCTTTTATCAGTTTTGAGTATTCCTTTCTAATTCAAGAACCCTGCCTGACATTGTGCAACAAGCAGAATAGAATCAGGCTGTTACTATTTGTTATTCCAAATCCTTCCACAAATGGAAAGGGTGAAGGACAAAGTCTGAGGATGCTGTAAACAGTAACTGTGTTTTCTTAAATCCTTCTGAGACCCCTGTGTAAAAGACACTGGAGAACTGCAAAGCATTACTAAGTACTCTCTTGCTGGAAAACATTCTACCTGTTTTGTAAAAATGTGACAAGAGATCCTCCTTTTCAATGAATCGTTGATATAGCCAATGGGTGAGGGCTTCAGGCTCTGCAGGTACATCTTTAATTGGAAAAATCCTACCAAAGAAAGAACAGAACAGTGTCATTGAATCTATTTAAGTCATTTTATATTTAAATCTCTCTTGCCACAAAACCATGACAGACTAAAACTGGAGAAGTATCCTCTGCAGTGAGCAAAGGGTTAAATTAAACACACAGCATGCAATGCTTTCATTTTTTCTGTAAAATTGTCAAGACGCATTAGAGTTGGTGGATTTAACAAACTGAGAAGCTTGCTCTACCTGCTTGAGGAAATCATTTATTTGGAGTTGAGGGTTGTGATAATCATTAACACCTCTTCTGTATCTTAAAGCATGCCCAAAGGAAGTGGCTCGCTCGCTCTGGAATTCCTTCAGTTGGTTTTCTACTCTAGCTGTACTGATCCCGTAAGTACGCTGAAATACTACTGCAACATTTAAGGGCAAAGATTAATATTACAATCAGTTCTATACTTCTAACTCTAATTTTCGATCCTGATATAGCTATTTATAGCTATGCCTATATAATGGGAGGGATGCCAGAAACATTTATACTAGAAATGAAAGCAAAACAATTCAAGGCTGTTTTACAGCATAGCCCAAATCCTGCCCATTTGGCCAGGTCAGGAGGTATTTCAGAACATACAAGACAGTCAGCTCAGAAACACAGGACAGTTTAAAGATAAGCGTCACCAATATTTGGACATTTTTTTTTTTTTTTTCAACAAAATTAGAGCGCTCAGAGGCAAAATGCTTACATAAAGCAGGAAGAACTGCCACATTCTCCTTTCAGGCTGCCACTGCAGCCCCAGGATACTAATGCAGGAATCTCTGGCTTCAAAATGGGAAGGAAAAAGTTGCAGTGAAACATCCGAATTCTTTTAAAATGGCAAATGCTCCAGGTACAGGACAAGCGGCTTTCATGTGACCTGTTTAGAGCAGTGATTCTCAGTCAGGGTGCGGGGACATCCTGGGGTGCCACAGGGTGTGAGATGGGCAGGTGAGGTATTAGGGGATAAGTGCAGGCTCTGGCTGGTCCAGGCCTGACTCCTGCCCTGCTCCCACAGTCCAGCTGATCTGCACGAAGTAACACTCTAATAAACAAGTTTTTTGAAAGGGCGTACTGTTCAAATCCCCGAAGTTACGAAGGGCTGCCTTGAGTCAAATGAGGGGTGCCTTGAGGATAAAATGTTGAGAACCCCTGAAATATGGACTTGTGAAAAGGGCAATCTTTCTGGAAGCTGTGCAACACCTACAGAGTGGGACCGTAGTTCCTGACTGCTCCCGACTGCATTACAAACCACACAGACAGCCTTGCCACACAGTTTCAGCCACTCCTACATGCAGAAGTGGAAACAGGATAGCCCTTTGGCTCCCAAACTTGGAAACAGCTGCTCCAAGTGAATTACTGTGACACTTTCCAACCTCTGAAAACTGCCAAAGCAAAAGACTGTATGCAACCCTAACAGCACAAAACCAAACACCTTAACAAGACCAAGGTTAAACATTTAACTATTCCAATACAGAATCCAACACGAATATGGATCTTTGAACTGGCAGAGCCACAAATGATAGACCTATTTTAAGGCAAGGTGTCACTATCAGGAGTAAACTCAAATATCAATTATATTCAGAACCAAACAAAACAAAAAACTCTTTACATAGTAGCCTCCACAGTTTATTTGTGGCAAGACATACTTCTCCCTTGCTGAACTTCCAGCTTGCAGAGACAAGCAGATTTATAGTTTTATGTTTTCCTAGAAAGTGACAACCACAAAAACACTGTAACCTTTCTACAGGATTTCAGCTTCAACTCCAAATTCTGGTGCTTTTATCAGCATAACTAATTCAGCAGCCAGATAGCGGGGTAACTTTTAATAATTCAAAGTATGAGACCAGAACAAAATCCTGCATCAAAATGTCAGAAAGAGGCAGCTCTTAACAAGGGCAGAGACTTCTTTAGAAACACTGCTCCATGCACAAGAAGGGAGTTACTAACTTTTAAGCAATAGTCAAAATATATACTTCCCCTAGCATTAGACTTATCCATTTTGTGCATCCTCAACTTAGAGAAAGAGCGCTTCCTACCATACAAATTACCATCTCTATTTCACCTCCTTCCCTCAGATGGTTGCTATCATGGTTTAGTCTCAACAAGCTTAGAAGTAAATGGAAAGGCCAGGGAAATAACTGCTTTCCACTCCAGAGTGGACTCTCCAATGCAAATACCTTTTGGCTTCTTGCGCAGAATTGCTGCACCTTGGCCTCTCAGTATGCGTCAGGCCTGACAGTGCCCTCCTCATACAGTGCTATGCTTTTATTGTTTTTAATGGACTTTCCACTGCTATTTAAAATATAGAATTCATTTTGCTTGGAAAGATTTGAGGTAGAGTGCCCTAACAACTGACTCTGCAATGTCTTAAACAGCATAGCTCCCTTGGAGAAGATGGAGAGTGACTGAATAGGATTATGAAGTGCCAAGCAAGAATTCTTTAAATACACCCCTTTTTTATTCTCGGAGCATCTCTTGTTCCACTGCTGTATTCCTCATGCCTCACTCCTTCCCACTTCTGTTTTCTTTGCTTAACAGCATCTCATTGCAACAAAGTTGACATGAAGCCTTCTAGACACTGAATGTGCCTCTCACCTTTTAAATCTCTTGCTGGTAGACTGACCCTATTTTTGATGTTGTATTTCTACATCTGGGACATTCTAAACTGAAACTATTAATCTGACATTTACAAACAGGAGATTCCCCCTCTCCCCATATTTACTCAGTTTTCCAGCATTGTAAGTCTTCTATGCATCATCTACTTATCACAGCCCAACACCGGTGAGAGTCACTCAGTGACAAAATAGTGCCAAACACTCCGCGCTGCTATTTCAGTGGCACAAAGTTGACAAAACTTCCTTTCAATTTTCCCTCTTCTCAGAACTCTAGAAACCAGGACCATCTGACCCAACGGAAACAAATACATCCTAGTATGTTCTCAGCAACTTGTTTTTAGCATTAAACAGCTACAACAATTCAGTTCCTACTGTTTAATGCAATTAATTTTATGAAGCAATTATCTCATAGATTAAAGCCATTACACATTTAGGAAAAATAAAGCTGCTGACAGATCAACAATGAATCAGTGTTTATTTAGCTTACAGCCATTATGCTGCACAAAGGGTCTTCATAGCTATTGTTAATATAAATCTAATATCCATTAGTTTCTTAATCACTGGGTAACAAGTGCCCCAAAAAGTACTGCTTGCCCCGCCTCAATAAAAAACTCTGGATGATGATGATGATGTATAAAAAAAAATAGCTGCAAGTATTAAAAAATCTGGATGAGTAACAGCAGGAGGTGGCTCCATTTCAGTGGCATTGCATGCACACACAGGAAGGGTACAGCATGATACACAAGCACAGGAAATGTAAATCCTAGGCTCAGCTCTGCCATGGGCTGTACATGATGCAAGGAAAAAAAAATCACCTCAGGGCCTGCTATCCCCAAAGTCCATAGTACTGGTACATTTCATTATCTTCCAGAGGACAGCTGGGTGCTCAGCATTGCTGGGTGCTCAGTAATACTTACTATGCCTGAAAACATAATTGTGGGGAAGTGAGGTCCGACCTGGGATGTGGTGGCAGGGCAATTAAGGTACCTGGCTACAGCTCCAGAGGCAAGAGATTGAGCTCTGCTTTGGACTTGTGCTAAAGGCTGTCAGATTTCCATAGATGTTAAGGGCTGGATGGGACCTTACAGATCATCAGGTCCAGCCCCCCGTACTTGGCCAGGAAAGACTGTTGACCTGGCCCGGCTATGAATGGATGCCTGACCAGGGATGTGATGCTAACCACATCACTTATTGCCTTCCTTGTCACTAGTCTGTAGAGACAGGCACACTAGCCTGATGAGCTGTTTAACTTAGGAAGGCCTTTGACTTTTTAATATGTCCAACGTACCCCAAGATCCCTGTATGAATCATGCTATGAAGTGCCAGATGAAAATCCCCTGGTAGGTAATTTAAGAAGGCACAAAAACAATAGTCAGACTAGAAGCTGTTTTAAGAGTGAAACTGATTTGATTAATTTTATTATCAAAAGAAAAAAAAAAAAAGAGGTAGAGTGCATTAAGCAGGCAGGCTTATATCTCAATCACATGGCTTCCATTTTAGTACTGTGAGTTGCTTTAAACTGATTTTTAACCTGTAACTGCTCCCAGAATCAGTCAGCAGCAGCCATTTAGTCAACAAACATTTTACTTTATGCACCATAAATCACTTTGGTTGGAGAAATTATTTGCAAGTAAAGTGATTGCCTAAAGAAGAGTAACTTAAAATGGTACACCCAATCTAAGACAAGGGAGCAGGCTGCAATATGGTTATGTGCTAACCTGACTGGAGTTTCATTTTAGAGTTGAAAAAAATATTGTGCGTCCTTGAATCATGTTAAGAACCTGGACAGTGCAAAAGAGAGAGCACCATCATGACTGCATCCTAATGGCAAAGCAGAACAGCATCACCTCCCTTCCCCCCACGCTCATATTCATTCCATTACCATGCACAGGACCAAGTTCAACCCTCATTGTAGTTACGCACAGCAGAGAAAGGCAGAATGATTCTGACTAGCATAACTTGCTATAATGAATATTTAAATCTTTTGACCACATGGACACTACTGAGACTAATCCACTGGGGGAAGGAGGGAAGAAATTACAGCAGCTAACATCCATCTAGTTCAGTGTCAAACGAAGCAGTTTCTCAAGTATAGATGCTCATCTTAAGTGCTGACACTGGGCGAGTGTGCACATGTGTGTTAAACACATTCTAATCTTAAATATGGCCCTGGCTAGCATCATTCCAGGACAGGGTAGACAGTTTGTTTAAAGAAAAGCTTTCTGGACCAGGAAGCCATGAAAATTTAATCTGATTTAATCCTTGTCCCCCTTACACTCACCCAAAAAAGATGGCCATTTGTTCATGAACACTAGTTCATCAAGGTCATTTGTACATGGTATGAATTTGCAGCTGTAGCCTACCCATTTGTGA